TATGCATCCGAAGAAGTGGGCTGTAGTCCACGAAAGCTTATGCTCTAATAAATTTGTTAGTCTCTAAGGTGCCACAAGTACTCCTGTTCTTTTTTTTTGGATACCTGAAAAGATATTGCAACAAATTATTAAACAATCAATTTGTAAGCCCCTGGAGGACAATAGGGCTATAAGGAATAGCTAGCATGGATTTGTCAAGAACGAATTGTGCCCAACCAACCTAATTTCCTTCTTTGACAGGGTTACTGGCCTATTAGATGCGAGAAAGTAGAAGGGCTTCTTTATTTTAGAAGGGCTTTTGACACAGTCCCCCATGACATTCTCATAAGCAAACTAGGAAAAGTTGGTCTAAGTAAAATTACTAGAAGGTGGGTGCACAACTGGTTGAAAGACCGTACTCAAAGCGTAGTTATCAATGGTTCACTGTCAAACTGGGTGGGTGTATCTAGCCATGTCCTACAGGACTCAGTCCTGGGTCTGGTACTGTTCAATATTTTCATTAATGATTTGGATCATGGAGTGGAGAGTACGCTGATAAATTTATGGGTGATACCAAGCTGGGAGGGGTTGCAAGCACTTTGGAGGACAGGATTAGATTTCAAAACGACCTTGACATATTGGAGAATTGGTCTGAAATTCATATGAAATTCAGTAAAGACAACTGCAAAGTACTTCACTTCAGAAGGAAAAATCAAATGCACAACTACAAAATGGGGAATAACTGGCTAGGGGGCAGCACTGCTGAAAAGGATCTGCGGGTGATAGTGGATCACAAATGGAATATGAGTCAGCAGTGTGATGCAGCTACGAAAAAGCCCAATATCATTCTGGGCATTCTGGGATGCATTAACAGGAGTGCCATATGAAAGACATGGGAAGTAATTGTTCCGCTCTACTCAGCACCAGTGAGGCCCCAGTTGGAGAAATGTGTCCACTTCTGGGCAACCACACTTTAGTAAAGATGTGGACAAATTGGAGAGAGTCCAGAGGAGAGCAACAATGATGATCAAAGGTTTAGAAAACCTGACCTGCAAGGAAAGGTTAAAATAACTGGGCATGTTTAGTCCTGAGAAAGGAAGACTGAGGTCAGACCGAAGAACAGTCTTCACACATGTGAAGGGCTGTTATAAAGAGGCCGGTGATCAATTGCTTTCCATGTCCACTGAAGGTAGGACAAGAAGCAATGGGCTTAATCTGCAGCAAGGCAGATTTAGGGTAGTGTGACAAAGTTCCTCCTCTATCTTGGTGGGTCCTGTGCTTATTGGCGGATTTTCTTGCCGCAGAGATTCACCATGTGGGTTGGGGAACAGCCCAGAGACCTTCCCCTCTGGAAGAACCCACAGTCCAGGTCAATTGGGAGGTCTGGGGGGAACCCAGGCCCGCCCTCTACTCCGGGTTCCAGCCCAGGGCCCTGTGGACTGCAGCTGTCTATAGTATCTCCTGTAACAGCTGCATGACAGCTACAACTCCCTGGGCTACTTCTCCATGGCCTCCTTCACCACAGAACCTTCCTCCTGGTGTCTAATAATTGTGCTCCTCAGTCCTCCAGCAGCACACCCTCTCACTCTCAGCTCCTTGCGCCTCTTGCTCCCAGCTCCTCACACTCCCACCACAAACTGAAGTGAGCTCCTTTTAAAACCCAGGTGCCTTGATTAGCTGCCTTAATTGATTCTAGCAGCTTATTAATTGGCTCCAGGTGTCCTAATTGGCCTGCCTGCCTTAACTGGTTCTAGCAGGTTCCTGATTATTCTAGTGCAGCCCCTTCTCTGGTCACTCAGGGAACAGAAAACTACTCATCCAGTGACCGGTATATTTGCCCTCTACCAGACTCCTGTACCCCACTGGTCTGGGTTTGTCACAGTAGATATTAGGAAAAACTTCCTAACTCTCAGGATAGTTAAGCTCTGGAATCGGCTTCCAAGGAATCCCCGTCACCGGAAGTTTTTAAGCCCAGGTTGGGCAAACACCTGTCAGGGATGGTCTAGGTATTTTGGGGGGTTCTGCCTCAGAGGGCTGGACTCGACGACCTCTGGAGATCCCTTCCAGTCCCATATATCTATGACACGATGATTTTGTCAAAACCAAAAGGTTCTGATCAACCTGAAATGGGTTTTTTTCCCCCCAGAATTTGTTTCATGGGAAATATTGGGGGCACATTTGGCCCCTGTCCCTGGCAGCCGAGCCCGGAGTCTGGACCAGGAGCAGGACAGAGCCGCTTCTCAGGCGGCTGAAGGTGGCTGCTCAGGGTCGCTGCTCTGCGCAGTGTGGTGGCTGGCTGAGGAGGCGGTGGTTTCCTCTCCCTGCCTGGACCAGGCTGCCGGGGACAGGGGCCGAGCAAGCCGGAAACGTGCCGGGGGACGAGGGGGCTCCGCTCACTCAGCCTCTGTCCCCGACAGCCAGGCCCAGGTGGGGAGTGGAAGCCGCCACCTCCTCTGTCGGACTCTCTCTCAGGCAGCCGCCGCGCTGCACAGAGCAGCGACCCGGAGCAGCTGGCACAAGCCACGGTTGGTCCTGCCCCTTCCGCTCCCCACCTGGGAGGGGGGCTGAGCGTGCCGGGGGCAGGTGCATCAGGGAAGGACAGAGCCTCCCTCCCTCCTGGCAGGCCAAGCAGAAATCTGGGGGAGGGGCACTTGACCCTGCATGGTCCCCTACGTGTTGGCTATGAATACAACCCTATGACTACTGCAAATACCTCGCCGGGTACAACCTCGGATCGCCTTGGGCTTTGGCATGACCGCGTGCGAGCGGCAGCTCATGGTCATCCTGCCATGGGCCAATCCATATGGACATGGCTGATGCCCACCCTGCCCTCATTTCAGCTGCTGTTTGCCACTCTCCATTGCAGACTCAGCCTCAGCCTCAGAGGGAGAACGGATCGTTGGGGGGAGAGACTGCCGCATTGGCTCCCGGCCCTACCAGGTGGCTCTCCTGAGGAACGGCCACATCTACTGTGGCGGGAGCCTGATAGACCCCAAGTGGGTGCTAACTGCTGCGCACTGCCGCTCAGGGATCGGGTAAGTCAGTGCGGGGGTGGAGGGAGAGAGGGAGATGCATGGGAGTAACCCACGTCCCCAGTCCTTATCTTCTCCCGTGGTGTCCCCCATCTGTACCCAGGTCTCCCTCTGCACCTTCTAAATCCCAGCCCCATCCTCCTCCACTTTTTTCCAGCCCTCAAATCATTTTTGTGGCTCTTTTCTGCACCCTCTGCAGTTTTCCAGCATCCTTGTACAGATGTGCCCACCCCACACAGGATGCAGCACGCCAGCATCGCTCTCCGCAGCGGCGTGTGCAGAGGGAAACTCGCCCCCAGGCTCGCCAGCGTTACCCCTTGTAGCATCCCACGGGTGGCTCATGTGCGGGTGCTCTAGGAGCTGGATGGAATGGAGCGGAGCCAGGGGTGAAAGTAACTTACAGGACTTACTGGTACTGCCGGAGTCCTGAGGGGGCGTGGCCTCATCCAGAAGAGGCGGGGCCTCAATTGGAAGAGGAGGGGCCTTTCAAGATTTAAAGGCCCTGGGGCACCAGCTGTGGCTGGGAGCCCCAGGGCCTTTAAATCAACCCAGGGCTCAGGGGCAAATTAAAGGGCCCGGGGCTCCAGCCGCCACGGAGCTCCAGGCCCTTTAAATCCCGGCCCCAGCCCGGGTGCCGAGCTGCGGGTGGGATTTAAAGGGATCTGGGCTCCCCGGCGGGGAGCCCAGAGTCCTTTAATTCCCCACCGCGGAAGCCAGTCCGGTCTGGCACAGCATACCGGCTCTTGCCGATTCGCCGGACCGGACCGAACCGTCTTACTTTCACCTCCGGGAAATATTTTCCCTTGACTCCAGTCTGATACTCTTGGTTCTCAACCGGAGGGTCTGCAGCCCCCTATTGGTTTCAGGGGGTCTGTGGGGCCCTGTGGCTGAAGCCTGGAGCCCTGAGCCCTGGTGCATCCCGTGGGGCTGAAGCCCTGAACCCTGGCGCACCCTGCAGGGCTAAAGCCCCAAGTCCCCCTCTGACAACCCCCACCCCCTCCCCCGGTGCAAACTGGAACTGGGGTACCGCTGAGTCCTCTGTTTGACCAATCTGGATTCCCTCTCACACTGTGATGTGACAAGCTGCCCTCCAAGCTTGCCCTCCCACCAACATCCACAGGCAGGGCTCACACCCATGCTTCCTTGAGTCATAACAGGGGCCATGAGCCCTAGAATGTCCTCAGAAAAGTCCATCAAATGTGGATAGGCTTCTTCCATGGTCCAATGTGAGTTCAGCATTCTTTGATGGGCCATTCAACTTGAATAGTTCCTTCACAATGTGCTGGCCAAACTAGAAGCAAATTGCCTTGAGGGTGTTACCCCAGGAGCAAACACATTTGAAATACAGATACATAGTCAATATTCATAACTCCAGGTACAAAAATGTTACATGCCTACAAACAGGATAATCATATTTAGCAAAGCAGACATTTTCCATTGACACCTCACATGACGTGTTGTACAGGATGCACAATAATTATGTCAAGGAGTCTGGTGGCACCTTAAAGACTAACAGATTTATTTGGGCATAAGCTTTCGTGAGTAAAAACCTCACTTCTTCGGATGCATCCGAAGAAGTGAGGTTT